GTAAGTAGAAAAATAAACATCAGATACCCACAGAACTGCTGTAAGCCTGTGTGCCTGGGGATGATGACAGAAGAAAGAGAGGAAGAAAGGTCACCCAGAATTAGAAAATCCAGTGCCACGTGGTCAACACTGATCACAGGTGCCAGGGTCCAAGTGCTGACTGTAAGGCAGGGCTCAAAAGTGTGCAATCCTCAGGCAGAGTCTCAGGAGTGTCATATGTCTGGGAAGAAGGAGGTAAAGAGCAAAGAAGATGTACAACTTGGAGATGTGCTTGTGAAGGGAAAAAAAGAAGGGAAATTTCAAATGCTTTAAAAGAGAATATAAGACCCACCAACCACAATCATAGTCCATTGAAGAGGTCAAAACAAGGATAGGAACAAAGGTTTAAGAATCCTATGTGAAAATCTATATCTTCTGATAAAACAGAGAGAATGCAACTAAAGCAGGGTAAGAAAAAGAAGAGTAATTACATTACAAATGTGATGAAGGCAGGAGTCAAAGGACATGATTTTAACTTGACAGTGACAAAGCAAGATTAGAAAAAGGAGAGGAGATGAAAGTAAAGTACAAGAGTTAAACAGGAATGGGTAGAAGATGGTGGGAAATTTCACTGACTATGTCTCGCAATGTAGCTTTTATTTTCAGAATCATGTTAATGTTTTACACATTCAAAACAATAAAATGAAGTCAAGAAGAGGGGAAATTAAATTTGGATATTATTGGAAACCAATGAGCCAAACAGAATTTCAAATGAGTAACATAACCATTCTAATGATGAAGGTGGAGAACCAGCCTAGTATCTTCTAAACACAGGGGTTTTATTACATATCTTCTTGCTGAAGAAAAGCAAACAGCAAGCTCTTCTTGGTACTGTGTTTTTTTTTTGTTTTTTTTTTGTAGCATAATAGGTTTGTATGCATGGTGGGAAGGGACAGCCCAGGAAATGCAATGATATTGGGAGCCCTGGTTCTCAACATATAATCAGGAAGATGCTTATATAAAAAGGGGAAGGCAAGGATGCAGGGAGAATTCTGTGGGAAGAAGGTGAAAGATGTGCTTCCACTAGAAACAACTAGAAGCCGTGCTCCTTCATTGGCAATAGCATGTGTTCACACTCAGATTGTGGCTTTGAAATTTCATTTTTCCAATTCAAATGAAGTAGGATTCCTTGGAGACATGGCCTATTTCAGGAACAGTGCAATGAAAAGGCAAGAATATCTAGAAAGGGTCTAGAATATCTCTCAGTGACAGAACATAAAATGTTTTTAAAATAATGGTTACCTGTCAACATGATGGAGTCCAGCTTAAAGGGGCTTGCCTGCCCAAAGCTGGGGCAATTTGAGCACCAAAAGTAATATTGACTATAATGACTTGTGACTGAATAATACATAAATTTTATGTATACAAACTGATAAACAGGAATTATACTTATGTTCGAATACAAATTTCTAAGTGTACTGTAGTCTTCCTTATCCACAGATTCATTTTCCACAGTTTCAGTTACCCTTCATAGACTGTGGTAGGGAAATATTAAGTATTAAATTCCATAAATAAATAATTCATACTTTTTAAACCGTTAAAAGTTATGTGATGAAGTCTCATACCACCCTGCCTCAGTAGCAAAAGCCTCCCTTTGTCCAGCATATCCACGCCTTATATGTTACCCACCCATTGGTCACTTGGTAGATGTCATGATTGTCAGACCAACAGTCGCAGTAACACAGTGGATGTTATGATGTAGCCCTTATATGACTTCATGTGGACCCCAATGTGCAAGAGTAGTGATGCTGGTAATTTTGTTATAGTGTATTGTTGCACTTGTTCTATTCTTAGTGATTTTATTAATCTCTAACTGTGCCTACTATATAAATTAAAATTCAGCACAGACATTCATACGTAGTAAAAACATAGTATATAATAATTCATCATTTAATAACGAGAATGCATTGTGAGAAATGTGTCATTTTACTGTTGTGGAAACAGTACACTTATGTAAGCTAAGACATGATGTCACTTCATGATATAACCTATGGGACCACTGACATATAGGTGACCCATCATTGACCAAAATATCATTATGCAGTGCAGGCTGTACATAGGTTCAGCACTAACCTCAGTTTTAGGGACCCATTGGAGTTCTTGAAATGTATACCCCACAATGAGGGTGACTGCATTTGCAGCTAACGTAATAGTTAACTCAGGTAAGAAGTACTTATTGATGGTTGCTAAAATAGGTGAAATTTTGGTGAGCAATAGGATTTTTTTTAAGTTTTAAAAGTATTTCTTATGTATTCACTATACTTCTAAAACTGGAATCTAGGGACATAGTAAATGGAAGCAGGACTTGCCTTCATGGAGCTTACAATCTTTTGATCATATTAAACATTACTGATTTTTTAAAAATGAAAACAAATATAGAGGGGAAAATACAGAGTCTTTGTAAGAGAAAAAGAATATAAATATCATGAACCAGGACCTCTTTCATGGACAGGTCTGTGGGAAGCCGTGTATGAATTATGGGTTTGTTTGCACCATCATAAGGCTGGGAGGTTGCTTTTCTGGGAACTTCTGGGTGAAATTCCCCCATTGGAGAAAGCCCAGGTCATGCTGGCGCCCTGCCTTAGCTCACAGCCCTAAGTTGAAATGCAGCCACCTGGTGATGGGCATAACCTGCCAATCCCCAACTTGTTTTCCCTATTTTCATCCTGAAGAAGCTTCTCACTGAATCCTTTTGGTGTGTCTCACTAGAAATAAAGCATTCACAGGCTTTTCCTTTTATTAGGATCAGACTCATCAGGTCTCTTTCCGCCTGTCAATGCCCCTGCTTTGAAAAACACACTGTGCTCTCTACACACTGCTCTCTACATACTGCTTTTGTGTGTGTGTGTGTGTGTGTGTGTGAGAGAGAGAGAGAGAGAGAGAGAGAGAGAGAGAGA